CACGGTAGCACCCCAAATCAGTTTCGCAAAGTAAAAATGTTTTAGTTTTCAAAGACTTTGCGAATAAATGCGCAACTCTGATTTATCTAGTAAGGTGGGGTGTTACATTTATGGTAGATTGGTTGATTTGCTCGTGTAATTTTGGTGTAGTTGGTTGTTTGGAATATGCATAGAAAAGTGTTAAAGGACGAAAAATGACAAAATCGAGCTGCAGTTGGGTCACACGACTCGTGTGAGTAGGTGACACGAGTCGTGTGGCTACAAGATAATGAAATTTCAGCTACGAATTTTTCACACGGGTCGTGCGTCACGTGACACGGGTCGTGTGACGTCACACGACCCGTGTGAGTTGTCGTGTGGGTGGTCGTGTGAGTCTGGGAGTTTTTTTTTATTTAACTAAAAACAGATTCTCGAAATACATTTTTAAAGTAATTATAACTAAAACGTATTCTAAGAATCCGGTTTTTAAATAAAAAAAAATATAGCACAGGCTCCCAGATTGAGGACTCGAACCCGGGTCAATGGGTGAGTCCGGTTTCTCTGGGCGCAGCTCGTACCATTAGGGCGCTCTAGGCTATCATTGTTATTTTTGCACAAAATATATTCTTATACTTGAACATCAATATTTTTTTATAATCAAAGTGAAATTAGTACAATTGAAGTCAAATTAATACAATTGAACCCAAATTAATACAATTGAAGTGAAATTAATACAATTGAAGTCAAATCAATACAATTGAAGTCGAATTAGTACAATTGAAGTCGAATTTGTACAATTGAAGTCAAATTAGTACAATTGAAGTCAAATTAGTACAATTGAAGTCAAATTAATACAATTTAAGTCAAATTAGTACAATTGAAGTCAAATTAATACAATTGAACTCAAATTAATACAATTGAAGTCAAATTAGTACAATCGAAGTGAAATTAATACATTTGAGGTGAAATTAATACAATCGAAGTCAAATTAATAAATTCTCCCAGGTGGGAACCCTAATTCTCCCAGGTGGAAACAGCATTATCTTTGCTAAGATCCTCTATTGCATCCTTTCTTTTCCAGTTTTTATCAGTTTCAGATGATTCCAGATAACGTCGAAGTACCAGAGAGTGGTGAAACATCGATCCCATTTGGGGATCCTGAGTTAGAGCTCAAAATGAAGAAGTTTTCATTGTCGAAAAGGAAAAACTCCATTCTTGATATCAAGCACGACGACATTGAGCTCAGCAAAGATGAATGTCGTAGAAGCCTTTTCGGTAAAATAATTGGGGAGAAGCGGGCCAGCTTATTTGGCTTAAAGAGAACGATGACCACGATTTGGAAAATCCATCTTTGAACAGAGTGAGGATCTAAAGAAGGTTGTCTCTGGTACGAACTAGATTTACGATAACCAATATCTTATTCTCCATGAGTGGACGCCAGATATTTCCAGTAACCACAAGTGCTTTGAAGAATTGCTCCTCTGGGTCCATGTCTACAATGTCCCCCTCCATTGGCTCAGTACGGAGGTAGGCCTAAAGATTGGCAAGCTCTTCAAAACAGTTCGCAATGTCACCATTTCCAAAGCAGGTGACATCGGAGGTGGAAGAATTTTCAGACTTCTTATCTCGGTTACTGTCAAGGAGCCTATTATGAGATGTACTAATGTACGCCTGGGAGATCAGATCATTAAAATCAACTTTAAGTATGAGAAGCTTGTAGGGCTGTGCTATTACTGTGGTACCTTTGGGCACAATGATAAAGATTGCAAAATCAGACTGGAAGATATTGCTGGCAACTCGCTTCAGGATGGTCAATTTGGGGAATGGCTGAAGATGGGGGAAGGAGCTTCCGGTTTCCATGCTTATCAAACCAGCCATTCAGGTTCCATAGCCTCCAAAACTATTGGGCACACTATCAACTCCAATTCTCCCACCCCTGATCACAATGTGAGCGGCAGAGATAGATCCTCACCCATCCCATTAGCTCAAGATTCTAGCCT